CTTTAGTTTCTCAGTGCAGTGCTTTAACCCGCTGCGCCACCAGGGAAGGCCCTGAATATTGACTTTTTTAATGAGTCTAGGCAAATAGCTTGTGATATATTTTGTGTGTAAGAAAATCACAGTGTTTAATAATATATTTGAGATTTGCATACTATTTAAAATTTTCTATGCATACTATATTACCTCATGTAAATCTGATATACCAAGTAAAGACTAAGAAAAGATATTGTCCATACTTATTTAAGCTAGTAAGCATATCAGGATTTGAATGCATGCTCACTAACTTTAACCAAAGCTAGCATTATCTGCACTGTTTCATTCTACTTATCTCATTATTTCTATTCCTGCCTCATTCAAAGAATACAATACATTCTTGTTGACAATGAAAAAAAATTATAAGCCCCAAATAAAAACAATAATAAATGACATACGTGTACAAATATATTCATAGATTATGTTCATTATAACAAACTCCAAAATAAATGTTAAGTGCTGAGATTAAACAAACAAGTAAAAATAAAAGCACTGATGCTTCATTTCTGTACGTCAGTGAGCTATCATCTTGTGTATTCCTGGGATTCTCCTGACCTTTTGGAGACCATCAGAGTAGCAGGGTCAGTTTTTCTTTGTTGTTTTCTTTGTTGTTTGTATTAAACTAGGAGATCTGGTCAATCTGTTGCCACTGCAAAAATTATTTTAGGGATGTCTTTCTGTCAAATCAGTAATAGCCAATCCCAGCTCAGACCCACACTTAGCACCAAATGACACAATATGAATAGATGAGTACATCTCTCACCCATGAAATTTGCACATAAAGAACATGTTGGAAATGGATTTCTGCCTGTTTCTCATCATCAAGATCAAAATATAGTGTGACAAGGCAGATCCACAGCACAAGATTGATAACTTCCAGTACTTCATTACAAAAACCTTTATCTCAGAGCCCTAAGCAAATATAATTCCCCTTCACTACATCTTCCACAGTGATCATTCAGTAAAATAGATACTGGGGTTACTCAGTGAAAATGTACAGCTGTTATAATACAAGTAAGGAAGGGAAATTCTAAACCTACTATTTAGTTATTTTGTTTAATAATTTACTAAAATTTCTATAATTTTCTCATTTCATTTTTTAGCAGTGCCCTTGCTTTGACCCGTTGAGCAGATGGAACTCTGTGTCAGGCCTATGACTAAGGTGATGTGAACAAAATACCAAATTTCAAATGATGAAAGAGGATTCTCCCTTTTAGCTTTCCTGGGATTATAGAAATAATACCCATTCTGTCTTGTTTCTCCATGATTTACCACCTCATTTAGGTAAAATGATATTTCATTTTAACTCCCTGATGTCCTGACAGAAAATATCCCTTTGATCCCCACTTCAGGAAATCTCCCATCAGCAGAATATATCTTCTGTCTTCAAGTCTGCTCCAGTTAAATTGCTTCCCATCAAAGTATGTTTCCATTTGGCCTCCCTGAAGCCTTTATAATCCCTAAAATCTTTATCTTTTAGAAATTAAATGAAGACTAGAATATATTGGATATAACTATTTTCATTTCTGTTAATAGATAATTTAATGACTAAGTGCCCAATTTGATTTTTTTAAAGATTTATTTATTTATGCATACAGAACTGGGGTGCAGGCCAGAGGTGCAGGGGCAGAAGAGGTCTGCTGCGCCATGTGGATCATCTCCAGAGTGGGGATTGAACTCATGTGGAAGTGGCTTTAGCTTCTTGGTGCTGTGCTTTAACCCACTGCAACACCAGGGAGGCCCTACTTTGATTTTTTTTTTAAGATTTATTTTATTTGTGCATATAGAACTGGGATATACAGGCCAGAGGTGCAGGGGCGGCAAGAGGATTCACCAGAGACAGAGTGGGGAGCAGAACAGGCAGATTGACCAAGTACACTACTGAGGGGAGCAGAGGGCGAGACAGGAGAGGTCTGCCTCACCATGTGGGTCACCTCTGAGGCTGGGGATGAACTCATGCTGAAGCAGCTTTAACTTCTTAGTGCTGTGCTTTAACCCCACTGTGCCACCAGGGAGGGCCCCTAATTTGATTTTTTAGTGGGGAATTTAATGTGATGACTCTAAGGTGTCGAATGGCCTGAAGGGCAGGAATGCATTGTGTCTCAGGTTCAACCACTATCATAGATTTAATAATTATTTTGGCCTTTCTGCTCTACTTCTGTGTATGCTCCTTCTTCATATTTCAACTGTCCAGATCAAATTGGGGAATTTGATCACCAACTAGTTGCAGGTTTGTATATTCTCAGTTTCAGCCTCCAAAGGAGGCTGGTTTTGTTTTTTGTTTTTTTGTAAATTGAAATTCCTTGGAAAAAGTTCATAGTGGCTCACTTTGGGTGTGCCTGTGCCTGAACTGATCACCATTATCCATGGTCAGTGTTAGATTTTACAAATTTGGTGGTTAGTAGTATGTCCCATTATAATCACATTGATGATATAATCATATAATCACATTGATGAATTGAAGGGAAGGCCATTTACTAAGTGGGAGCATGGCTGAGAGATGATCCTTGTCTATCACATAAATAACTTAATCCAGGCCTCTCATGCAATAGATGATGAAAATGAGGCTCAGAGAAGTGTGTTGATGTGTCTAGTGAGAAAGACAAGATCCCGGGTATCTCAGGTATCAAACTCATGTTCTTTTCCTCAGTAGACATTTACCAAGCATTTTTTATGTGTCAGACCTCGTTTCAGGCATTCAGATTGTTTATAACATAGTCACAGAAGTCCTTGTCCTCACTATACCACTTCTTAGATCAAACATTTCTGATCTCCCTTTTAAATAGCTTCTTTTTCATCATTTTCCCTTATCTTCCTTATTGAAAACTGCAAAAAATATCCTATTCTCTCTCCCCTTTTTATTTCTTTCCCACATGCCAAGTGATTTTGAATTTAGCTTTTCTAAACCACAATAAGCATGATTGCTCTGTTAGACATCAGGTCATGAGGCTTTGAAAGGACAGGGAATGTTTTCACCATGTAGAAAGTACTCTGTAAGTGAAGAGGGATAAACACCTTTATTTAGTATTTATGATGCCCTGTTTACTACTTTGCCTCAAAGGAGGAACTGTATAAATAAAGATTGCAGATTTTGGGGGGAAATTTCTGGAAATCAAAGAGGTTTATAGTCAGACCTTATATTTTCCATTTTCTAGTTAAGGGACCTTCAGAATTTCACTTAACTTCTGTTCGCTTAGTTTCATGATTTATAAAATAAAACTAGGAACCATATCATCTCTATTGGAATTATCCATAACTTATACTTTCAGTTTTTTAAAAGGACTGGAGAAATCAATGAAATATAAAATCCATGCAAATATCAAAGTTCTATACTTTATGATTAAAAGTGTTTTAATTCTGCTTCTTGTGAAACTGAAGCACCCTGTATTTTTCTAATTGTACACAGATCCTTTCTATTCTAACTATATTCAGTACATCAACCAAATTACTTTTGTTTTTTTAAAGATTTATTTATTTATGCATACAGACTTGGTGTACAGGCCAGAGGTATAGGGGTGGTGAGAGGATTCACCAAAGACAGAGTGGGGAGCAGAATAGGCAGATCGAGTGAAATACACTGTTGAGGGGAGCAGCGTGTGATTCAGGAGAGGTCTGCTATGACATGTGGGTCAGCTCCAGGACCTGGGAATGAACTCACATTGAAGTGGCTGTGGCTAGTTTGCAGTTCTGTGCCTTGACCTACTGTGCCACCAAGGAGAGCCTACTTTTCTTCTTAATTACTAAACATATTAATAGAAATGTATAGAAAGATCTATACCAAGTTTCAAAAGTGTGTATATCATCATGGGATTGATGACCATAAGATGATTGTTCATTTATACTGTTTTTGGTTTTTGTTTGCTTAAAAAATCATCTCTACCTATTTTTATCACAATAATTTGAAAATAATGTTTTTGACCAAAATACAAAGATAGTTGGAAAAACTGTGAATAGAGGGATTGGCAACAACCTTAAGAGTTCAAAAGCTAGAAGATCAGCTTCATAATTATGATGTGTAGGACAATGGATGCTAAGTTTTTTGTGGGGGTGGGGAGGGATATTAGAGCCTCCCAGAGAGGGAAAGGGTTTTAAAAACCAGAAAATCCTGTGAGTATCTTGTGGAACAGTCTCAGAGGGAAATCCTAATCCCATGCATTAGTTTTCTCCAGCTGTTCTCCAAGTCTGAAACAAAGGTGTCTCAGGGCCATGATCTCTCAGAGGACTCTGGTGGTATCTGGGGTTGCCGCCAATTCTTGATGTTCTTTGGTTCAAAGATACATCACTCTAACTTCTGCCTCCATGGTCAAATGAGTCTTCCTGTGTGTTTCTTTGTCTTTGTATTTTTTTTTCTTTTTTTTTAAATAAAGGTATCAGTGATCAGATTTTGATGTCACCCTAGATGTATGTATGACCTCATCTTACATCTTAATTACATCTAAGTCCCAATTTCCAAATCAGGTCACATTCACAGTTACCAGGGGTGAGTACTTGAACGTATCCTTTAGAGAGATACAGTTCAATCCATCACACCCTGTTTCAGGAATACGGAGATGCCGCTGTGTTCAATGATAATAGTCATCAGTAACAATAACTTCTAATTTTCACTGGCTGCTTGCCCTGTAACAGGCACTTGTTGTGTTCTTTATGTGCATTATTTCACAAGATTCTCTTTTTGTACTATAAACACCTTTATTTTTCCCTCCAGAGAGTTTAAGCAACTTGGCTGGTATCTCATACAGTTGGTGTTGTAGACTGTGATTCCAAGAACACCCAGCACAACATTTTCAGTACCCTATGAATTTCCAAAACCTTATGTGTCCCCATAAGAAACAGAAGCTTTTTATTTTCCATCTGAACTTGGAAAGGTTCCTTTGGTGGTCCCTGTGAATAGGGCACAGGGGAAAGTCAAATTTTCAAAACTGTTGTCATGAAACATGTAACAACTTCTCATTGTCTCTTTCTTTCAGGATGCCTGACCTGAAACCCAGCCTTGAGGTCAATTCCTGACCTGCTGCAAACAACTGGGAAGTTCAGGCAAATCTGACTGCAGACAAGGCCACTTCCAGAGGCTCAGGTAATAATATCAAACTGGGAATCTTTGCATTCTTCAACTTTGCCTTCTCGGTGGTGTCTTCATCTTCTGGCTTCTCATGGGATTTCCCTGGTAACTTCAGGTTCTCTATATTGCTGGACCAATTACAGAAAAAGACAGTTTCCCTGTCTAACGAAGAGAGATTATTTGGATGGAAAAAAGAATAGATGGAAGTTTGGGGGAAAAGTATGGAGCTTCCATGCTCTCTTGAAGCATGCTGTTATCCCCAAATCTCTACACCCTGCAAACTCTCAAAAAAATTTCTTTGAAAACAGGATGGTCTTGTCTCCTAGGGTTAGCATTATAACAGATTGCTGCTGTGCTTTAAAAAAAAAAAAAAGTAGTTAATAAAATAGCCTGAAACATCTCATGCTGATTTTGCACGAATAAATGCCAAATATAAAGAAAAAGGAATGGAAAGGAAAGACATTTCATTTTTGCTCACTGGGTGAATATAACATGCTTACTTGATTCATTTTTTAAAAGACCTGTTTTAATTTCTTTATAATCCTGGCATGTAGAAAAGTATGTATTTTTGTTTGTTAGCAGAACATTTTCATATTGAATTCTATAAAAGAAAACACGATCTTGGAACCAGCAACTCTACACTGTCCTGTAGTTTCCCTGACTGCCAGAGGTGACCATGCCGTGGTGGACCCTAGAAAGGACAGCATGTGAACTGTGCCAGTTCCCAAAAACAGCATCCACTGTCTGTAGTTGGATACTGGATGGACATTCCTGGAAGCAAACACTCAGGAGTGCTACTTTTAGCAATAATAGCTAAAGATATGATGCACCAGTCTGGACACTGTGCTGTATCTTTTCTGAGTTTCTTGAATGAGCTACTGTTTGGGGTGCTTACTGAACTAATAGCTGAATGATAGTCTTCATGTTACATAGCTAGCTGTCAGGGTTTGCTCACTTTAAACTTGGCCATAGAGCAGATGTTCTAGAGTGGTATCTTGGCAATGGCTATCAAAAATCTTGAAAACACACAATATTTACCTCAGTAGTTACACCTTTAAAGAATTTATCCTAAGGAGAACCTCCCTGGTGGTGCAACAGTTTAAAGCACAGCATTAAGAAGCTATCCACAGCCGCTGCAGCATGAATTTGATCCCCAGCCGGGGTGGAGGGGGGGTGACCTCTCCTGATCTGCCCATTGCATCCCTCAGTAGTGTATTTCAGTGGATCTGCCTGTTCTTCTCCCTACTTTTTCTCTGATGAATCCTCTCACCCTCTGTATCCCATTTCTTATATGAATAATAAATAATTTTTTTAAAAAAAGAATTTATACTAAGGAAATAAATGTGTAGTATAATGAGTAGCACATAGAAAATATGTGATAAATATTAACAGTTGTTTTGCAGATAGTAAATAAATGGTATCATGTCTGTATACTATAGAACTAGACAGCCACTAAGAAGTATGCCAATGGTTTTCAAATTTTTAGATGCACCAGAATTGCCCAAGGATCTTGCTAAAAATGAAATGTCCCAGGGCCCATCCAAGTAGTCCAAGAAAAACTTGTCAAGTCTATAGAAGAGAAAAGTTGGGCTTCCTATTAACTCACTTATATTATAGCAAGGATATTACATTTGCTTAAAAAATTACTATTTATGTCAAAGACTTGGTGATTGTTATTTATTTTTTAAAAGATTTATTTATTTATTTGTGCAGACAGACTGGGGTACAGACCAGAGGTGCAGGGTCAGTTAGAGGATTCACCAGAGACAGAGTGGGAAGCAGAACAGGCAGATCGAGGGAGTACACTGCTAAAAGGAGCAGCGAGCGGGTCAGGAGAGGTCTGCAGTGCCATGTGGTCACCTCCGGGGCAGGCAGGGATCGAACTCATGTGGAAGTGGCCTTCAATTTTTTTTTTTTAAGATTTATTTATTTATTCATACAGAACTGGGGTACAGGCCAGAGATGCGGAGGGTGAGAGGATTCACCAGGGACAGAGTGGGGAGCAGAACAGGCAGATCAACGAAGTACGCTGCTGAGGGAGCAGCGGGTGGGTCAGGAGAGGTCTGCCGCGCCATGTAGTCACCTCCGGGGCAGGCGGGGATCGAACTCATGCAGAAGTGGCTTTAGCTTCGCAGTGCTGTGCTTTAACCCGATGTGCCACCAGGGAGGGCCTGGCCTTCAATTCTTAGTGCTGCACTTTAACAAAAATACTTAACTATCAATTCTGAAGACTGATCCAGCACCAAGATAAGTAGCTGTAATTATCTGTAATTCTTTTTTCTCAAAAAATATGCCCACTAAAAAATATGACCAACACACTGTTAAATTAATTAAACCAAGAGGCCATTACACTGAAATGGCTCTAATGCCTTAGTTGCTGATACCTGAGCCTGAAATACCTCACTATTAAGATATGGAAACCAAAAGCATATCAACTCACTTATACTCACTTATACAACCAACTTGACTTTTCCCAATAAGGCAAAAGCTTGAGCTTTATCTATGCCATTTCTCTGTAAATGGCTTTCCCCTACCTCCAGTGGATGGGGCACTCCTAAACATCTCTGTTTTGAATAGAATTTTACTTGAATAATTAAAAATTAATATGCCTCAGTTTGTTACAAAATACATCTACATAAAAGGTGAGGGATCATTACAGCCCAGTGACATATGCTATTTTTCCCTGCCTCCTCTTACATGCAGTTGTCTTGGATTACAAGTCCCAGTGTGCTATGAAACAGACTTCCTGAATAAGGGTCAAATGGAAAGGAGAGAGGTGGTTATATCAATAGAGGGGCACAAATGTGAAGAATGTCGTGGAAAAGAAATATAGAGGAGAAAATTGTTTAGATAGTTGGAAGGGGTGGGTTGGTAAAAGTCCTGTGAGTTGGTTGTTCCTGTTCCTTAACAGAAAATGTGGCAGCCATTATCTTGATGTGGTATGTTTTAAATTTTGAGTGCCTAGTTCCATCCCAGCTCTCTGGGACCTGCCTGAACCCTTTCTTGTGCTTCCCTGCCAGAAGGGGCCTTCGGCAAGCTTTCAAGTCTCAGAGTCCCCAGTTTAGGTCAACTGTTTGGCAGATCATATGCCCACAATGGGGATGGAGTTTCATCAGGAAAGTTTTATTTGAAATCCCTTTTCTCTCTCTCAGTGCACACCAATTCTATTAAAAATCTATCACATGGAGATTATGCTGCTTTTTGCTTCTGTGCACAGATGTCAAATTCCTTTTAGAGGGTACATCCCTTAACAATTTGGGAACCCTGATAACCCTTAGTCATTCTCTAATAAATTTGTCTTTTAACAACTGGATTTTTTTTTTTTCTTCCAGATGAACCATTGTTTCAAAGGCTAGTACAGCAGGTTGTATTCACATTGGAATTCCAAAAATATTATTTTTTCCTGGGAGTTCTTAGCTATTTATCTTATTTTTTTTTTTTTAAAGATTTATTTATTTATTCATACAGAACTGGGG